CCTTATGTGTCTGGCAGATTGGCAGCAATCAATGTGAGAGAGAAGAGTGGCATCATTCATGAGTTTGCAAACCATAATTTGTGCCCTCTCAGCTCTGTGATGCAGATACTAAATGCAGTCCTTACTGAGTGATCTAAAACATTAGAATCAGGAGAGAATCTTCCAGAAGCTTTGTGTTCTGCTTCAGAGAGTTTTCTCCAAATGCTCAACAGGCATACAAAATGTAACTTTCTAATATTCTGACTGCTAGCAAGGGGAGTTAACAGAACATTAAGCCTTACTGGCCTACTTGAAGTTATTTGCATATTAGTGAATGCACTGGAAAATACTGGATGTGACTAAAAACAAACAATTATCTTATACACCAGGAAGGATAGCAAATGGTAATAATTGTATGGTATTTCACAAGTCTTTATTTAAAAGTCAATGCTGAGTTTAGGATGAAGAAACTTGGTATAAATGATTATCACAGAACTTGAAGTGCTGACAGGGAAACTAAAGGAAAGTGATTTCCTTACTGTTTTTCTTTGTTTACCAATGATCATTTGCATGTCGCTTGAGCACCTTCATGTGAAAACTAGTGCTGACCTTGTCATATAGAATAAATGAATAGATACTGATACAGACATAATTTTAGGGAAAGGGAGATTATAATTATTCTCAGTGCCTGAGAGAAGGTTATCAATACGGCCAACAGAGGGAAAAAGACAGAAATTAAGATAGACAGGTAGATAGTTCAGTGCAAAGTGCCCTGGATTCAAACCCCAGTCCTGCAACACACACACATACATACTAGAGACAGATAGACACAGATACAGACACACATCCGATATGGGGGACAAAATACTTCACTAAATCTTCAATGTACACCAGCTGTCTCCCACAACTTCCTAAGCGACTGTTGAAACTGTCTCTAACCTCAAGGTAAAAATGTCCTGCTTGTGATCTATTCTTAAGAGAGGTACTGGGTTCATCTGATCTTCTACTTGGAAGATGTTTTTATTAAAGAGATTCTTTAGGAGCATGGCACAGGTGTGATGAAAAAAAAAATCTCAACAAGTAGAAAAAAGAGTTTATAGTCCAATGTCAAAGGCATGAAAGGAGTGAAATAAACGAAAACCAGGCTTAAGCAGAATTTGAGGAAGCTGCAGACAAAGAGAAAATGAAGGAGTTGGGGCCTGGGGAAAAATTTCCTATTCACTCCCTTATCAACATCACAAAATGTTATTTTTTGTTTATTTGTTATTATTATTTTTCAGCATCTTGAGTTCAGATACGATTATAAATTAAATTCCTTGTTGTGTTTCACCTAGTCTAAATTTTCTTCCCTGCTTAAATAGAACTCCAAATAAAATTCATGGTCATAATATCACCCTAAGTAACAATAACAACAATAGTAATAATAATAATAATAAATTTCCATATTCAACTCACAGGATAAAACCAAGAGTGGTCATCGTATGTGTACAAATCAGGAGATGAAATAATTCCTTGTTTTAAAAACATTTATGTAAACCAGATGAAAAATTAAAACAATGAGAAAAAAAAAACAGAAAATTTAACATGCCAGTAAATTCAATGTATTATTTCCAAGTATCAGCTTAATGAATGAAACTCTATTGATGTAAAATTAGCACTGCCAGGAAAGCACCCCACACTAATATTACAATTGGGAAGCTTCAAGCTGCATAGAAAATAATTTCTACTGATAATACAAAGCTGAGAGACAGAGAGACTACATAACAGGGTTTTACCATAGCTGTATCTTCTGGCTACTTACAAATGTGGTGCCAACTGACTTGACTATTCGATATTGGGTCCTGATAACTGGGACCCAGGAAAAACTCAGTACGTGTTTGCTGACTACAGAGGACTGACACTTCTTTTTAATATAGTGATTCTGAAAGTAGAAATCATTCACTGAATGTAAAGCAAAAGTTTTGTTTAAGAAAACATTCAAACTATGTTTATATGGTAGCCAGGACGAAATTTCCTTGTAACTAGGAAGGAGAATGGAGATGAAAGGGGAATTGATAAAATGCCGTAGTTAGAAAAATACATAAATAAAAGTCATGACCTGCCAATGCCAAAATACTAAAATAATGCCTATTATGGATGCTGAAATAAATAAGTAAATATTAATTTTCACTCTGCTTCTGAGTAATTTCTCTAAACCCCAATTCTAATTCTTGCATGGGTCTTTTAGGGCTCTAATTTGTAAAAATCAATGTTTACCACAGTATTGTGCTGCAAGGTTGTGGTCTTCTTTGATTTCCAAGAGAAATCAGCTCCACAAAATATCATCAGGCTTGTAAACAAGAACCATTACTTTTGTTTTTCCTTCTGTTCAAGACATATGCTAAACTAAGCAAAAAGAAAAAACAAAAACAAAAAACAAACAAACTAACAAAAAACAGGACTACATTCAGCTTCTGCCTTCTCAGTGAAAATGCTGCTGATGTATGACATAGAATTACTGCTTCAGTTAGTGAAGCTAAAAAGTCTCCCTCTTATAAATAATGTTCATAGTCACACACAATTGAAAAAAAGGAGGAACACAAAAAGTTATGAGAAGTTTCCAGAATTATGAGGTTTTGAACTAAAACTCAGCACACAATGCATGTCATCTAGAGGGAATAAGCTCAGGGCTTGTCTTTAAAAAGTCTTTGCCTTTCATTCAATTATGTCTGTAAAGTAAGGGGTAACAAAAGAAAGGAAGAAAATATTTCCATCTTAGAGGCTGTTTTTATCCTGGTTAGATCCTTTGATTAATTTTTAACAAAATGATTCAAATGATTTTTCCAGATCTTAGAAATAGAGTTTGTCAACTCACTTAGACAAAACTTCATTGACTCAAGTAAATTCCCACAAGTTGAGCTCAATCACTTAAAGAGTATCAATGAGCTTCAAAGTATAATAATCATCCTAATAGAGAAGGTACCCTTCCCATTAAGAATTGATATAAATTAAGAATACTCACTATAGAAATGCAAGGAAGGATTTTTAGTTACTTGCTGGAAAATCAGACAGAATTTTCAAAACTACATCTTAGTATCCACCAGCACTATTACTTTCCTTCTTGTTAGGTGAGCAAGTTGGAGTGGGGTATCCAAATGAGCAGACAGCTCAGGGCGTGAGATATCCAAAAGAGCAGATGACTCAGGAAGCTAGCATTAGCATTATGCTGGGTTAGAAAGCGCTGTAGACATTCCCACCCCACGAAAAGTCTGTAGTAAAGAAAAAGGACTCTTTTCTTTAATTGGTAACCCTAGAAAAAATTAACCATACCGAGTAAATCTATTCTCATAAAATGAGAACCTTTTATCCCACAGTAAAACTCATCACAAAACTAAACAATCGAACTTAACTGGAAAAGATTTAATGATATGAAATGAATCTTTGAAAGTCCTGTAAGGCAAACCTTAAAAACCAAGTAGAATATAAACTGTGATAAGAAACTGTTTCTTCAATAACTCAGAAAACAGTATTTTTTTTAAAACCTATAATCTTTTTTTGTTGTTGATTGGACACTGTCCTAACAACCAATAATAGTAAAAGAATACAAATTGTTAGAAGTAAGTCACCAAAATTATGGCACATGTAACAAAGAAATTTGGGGGATGTCACAAATGAAATAAAATAATTTGAGAAACAGACATAAATTCATAGGGAGCATGAGCACCTCAGGAAACCCATCCCTAGATATTAATTACTCAGTCAACACTCCACCTTATGAGATGGAAAGACTATCTTGACTTAGTAGGGAAATCTTTTCAACTAATATCCACGAGGCTCAAGAAGCAGTAGTAAATACTTTTAATAAGGCGACATTTCCCACCACATTTTCCTTGTCCTAATTAGAATTGTGAGGCAACGTTATGGTTCATAGGTCACTGACAGTTCTTACTCAATTTGTTATCAGGAGCAACTCATGTTTTAAAATATAAGTATGTCCTTAAAATGAAAAATGTAATGAGGAGCTTTACTCCACCCTCCCCCGGTATAAATTTCTGAGAAAACTCAAGTGTTAGTGCATGGCTTACAGTTTTGTTTTGTTTGCAACACTTGTAAGTCAAAATCAAACCTGCTAAAATTGTTCATTTACAGTATATTCTTTTCTTTTCAGGTCTAATGTAACCCCAAAATAGAGACTTCTGATGTGTTCTAATCTACACAGAAAATAATCATGTTTCAAGAGAAAACTAGCCCACACAATTACTCCCAACTGTCAACCAATGCTGAGAAATCCGTGAGAACAAAGTTTGCCCGGTGTTTATTATAAAAGCTACCCCATCTACCTGCTCTAAATGTACCCCTTTGGATTCTCTATGCTGACCTCCAACCAGAGAGCAAGTCCCTAGTTGCTTCCTAGGAAGAAATTGCACTCTTTCACACGGGCCCTCAGCAACCAAATGCGGCTTTTCTTTCTCTGAGAATGGAGAATTCTATTATCTCTCTTTGAAGGATACGGGCTGAAATCAGCTCTTTGCTTTTCTTTTCCTTTTAGTATGCCAAGACCATGCATGGATAGGAAGGTGAATACTAACAGACCCAAAGACAAGAAACTGCCCACATTTATTTCCCATCCTGTTTCTAGGACTTTGAGGAAAGGAGGGGGGAATAATGAAGGGCTTACAAGTGTCATTTCTAAAAATGGCCCATGCAATTGGATTTAAGTTTGGAATTCTTAGTACTTGGAGTACCAGAAAGATTTTAATGGGGGATTTTAAGTGTCTGGGAGGAGGCATAGGGGGAATCTCGAAGGGCACCAATTAGCTCCAGGAGCGCAGGTAGGACTCCTGGGCTTAGGTGGAACATTTCACAAGAGGACAGTCCCCAGGAGGGCTGCAGATGTAGGACAGCCCCTCCTATAGAACTGGACTGAGCTGTTTTAAGATTCCTCGAAGTGTTCTCTTGGGCTGGAATGCCTAGATCCCTCAAAACACAAACTGCTGCTCTGTGCCCTTGGTCAAAAGGCGGCATTTTCAGGAGCAACTTACCGCATGTCCCCATAAGGTCCGGAGTAGTTCTCCATCCAAGGTCCCATCTCACTTTTGACGCAACTGGGACTGGGATAGGGTACTCTGTTCACCACTCCACTGGGATACCACATTTCGGAGGCAGAGAAGTCACCCTCCTGGCTTGCCAACCCCTGAGGGGGACGAGTGTATCCATAGGGGGCTACAGGCCCGGCCTCACTTGGGCTGCTGCTGCCGCCCCCACTGCCTGGCCCATATAATTGGCCTTCTTCAGTTGTGAAGAGTGTGTGCCAGGAAGAAGAGGCGGTGGCTGGGGGCGATCCAGTGCTGGGTCCGGCTGCACTCCCTCCATGTAGGCTAGCCAAGTCCCCATAGCGGCATTGCGCTGCAGCGGCAGCCCAGGCACTGCCATAGTCCAGGGGGTTCTCCAGTTTGATGCGGGCGTGTGGATGGGTAGGGGGTTGGGGGTGCGGCGGTCCGGTCAGAGCCAGCGGAAAGTTGTAGTAGTCGCGATTCTGGTATGCTGCTGCCTCATCCACTGCTCCAGATTTATACAGAGACAGAGTGGATGGGATCTCAAGTGTCCCAGAGCTACCTGCTTCACCGCTGCCAGGGCAGCCCAGGCTCTCGCTTTCCAGCACTTTGGCGTAACCTCCCTTGAAAGAGGAATACTCAGCAGTCTCTTCTGTGCCTTTGCCCGGGCCCTCGTCCAGGGGAAGACCTTTGCATTCGGACAGTGGTGCACAAGGAGCGGGACGCACCGCGGGTGGACCTCCCAGGAGCGACGCATACATGCAGTCTCCCCGAAGCTGTTCCCCTGGACTCAGATGTTCCAGTGCTTCCACACCCAATCCCATGGACACAGACACTGCTTTACACAACTCCTTGGCACTGTCAGATATGGTCGAATTGCCCCCTAGGTAACTATCCTTGGAGGAAGAAGGAGCCCCAGTGGCCTCCCTTGCTCTCGTGCTGCTGCTACTGCCTTCGGATATTACCTCTTGCTGCTGCTGCTGCTGCTGCTGCTGTTGCTGTTGCTGCTGCTGTTGCTGCTGCTGCTGCTGTTGCTGCTGCTGTTGCTGCTGCTGTTGCTGCTGAAGAAGTTGCATGGTGCCAGCCTCGCTCAGGATGTCTTTAATGTCGGTGGAGCAGCTGCTTAAGCCTGGGAAAGTGGGGCCCAGCAAGGACAAAGTGGATGGGGCAGCTGAGTCATCCTCATCTGGAGGAGCTGGTGGCTGCTGCGGCAGACCCTTGCCAGGAGCTGTGGCAGTCCCAGGCTCTGGGAGGCAGCCGCTCTCAGGGTGGCCCTCGGAAACTGACTGCTGCTGTGAAGGTTCCTCCTCCAGGGCCAGGTAGCCTGTGTGGCCTCTGATGTGGGCTTGGGGAGAGCCATCCTCACCGTGCTGTTGTCGCCGCCGCCGCCTGGGGCTAGTCTCTTGCCGCTGCTGCAAACAGGCTCCGGGAGGTGCTATGCTAGCGGCCTCAGGGTGCCTGGGGCCCGGGTTCTGTATAGCTTCGCGCACACTCTGGAACAGATTCTGGAAAGCTCCTCTATAGGTTTTGGAAGGGGGCCGTGGGTAGACCCTTCCCAGCCCTAACTGCACCTCCATCCTTGTCTGTATCTTCCACTGAATTCCCTTATCCTGCCTTCTTGTCCCTTGCTCTGAAGAGTTCAACTGACTGAAGATGTAGTAGCTAACTGCCCACCTGCGGGAAGCTTCAGGAAAGAAAACTTGCAGGAGAGAGAAAAACAAAACAAAACAAAAAACAAACCCAAACAAACAAACAAACAAACAAACAAAAAAAAAAAGCTCCCAGACTCCCAGATAGCTTCAAAGTCTCCAGTAAAGGAAGGCACGCGCTAGACAGGATCTGCCCTGCTAGTTCCACAGTCTGTCCCTAAATACTTGAAGAACAGATTAAAAGATGCTCAAAGCTTGACGGGGGTGGGGGGAGGAAAATCCTCTGTCTTCCACATTCAATGTCCATTGAAGCAGGTGCAAATAAGAATTGGGCTATTTTCTTTTTGTTTTCTTTTAGCTTTTGTTTTGCTTTCGACTACGGAATCCCTGACTGCCTTTTCATCTTTTGATTTCTAGCTCCACACACAGGGTGAGGAGCCCCAGTAGGAGGTGCAGAACCTGGAATCAGGAGCTCTCCAGGCTTGCTGTTGCTCCTCAGTCTCTGTGCTCTTAAAATCCTTCCTTGCAACAAGCTCTCCTGTTCTTAGCCAAAGGGAGTTACCTCTGTGCAAACTGGCTGGCAGAGCTGAGGTTGTAGGGGAGAGGGTTGGCCAAGAAGCCTGCCTAGTCAGCTCCTGGAGAGGGGACCTGGGAGGGGGTAGTGGATAGAGGGGAGGAGGACAAAGGCAGCTGTAGTCCTACCGGACACTTTGCTTGCTTCCTCTGTGTCTCCTGCAGCTTTTAGAAACTTCACCGAAGAGGAAAGGGCAGCTCCGGGGCGGCGGCTTCGAAGCCGCCGCGCTGCAACAGGCGTCGGCTGTCGTTGAGCTTGGGCTGGTGTGGCTTGTCCCTTCAGCTTCCGTGTGGCACTGGAATGGCTAGCTTACTCTTTTCCTTTCTGATGTCCTCTCAGCCTCCAGGTTTGCTCTGGACCCTCTGGCTCTCCCAGCAGCCTGGCTCCCTGGGATCTCCGAGGGGGCGCTGGGAGGTAGAAAGCAAATGCAACAGTTTGTGAGTCGGTCCCGCCCCCACGGGCCGGCCTCCTTGCCTTCCCACCTCCTTTTTTTCTCCCCTCCCCTCCCCTCCCCTTTCCTTTTCTCCCCTCCTCTCACCACAAGCCATTGCAGGGTGGCTTTAAAGAACGAAGTGCTGGCTTAGTGTGGGTGAAGGCTCCAGCGACTCGCTGTCGCCTCTGAGGACCCCTTTTACCCAAATACTTTGTTTTTCGGAACCAGGCTTTGGGCTCCAGACTAGAAGCTTTAACTGGGAGTGATTTTTAACAGACATGTCTACCAGCTCTTCAGAAGGCTAGCACAGGCCGGATTTCATTCCCATAAGCAATCCCAAATAGATTCTTGGAGGTGGGAGAGGGAAGAAGGGGCTCTAGAAGTACCAGCTACCAGTAGCTGTTCTTCCCAGAGTCCACCCAGACAAGCAGAAGGGGGAATGCCTAAAAATTAAAGAACAAGCTGCCACCAAGCCAACTCTTTCACAAAGCTTCGAGTTTCCCCCTAAGGTAGATAGGAATTTTTTGACACATTGCCATTCGCTCTGGGAATTTTGGGCCCAAGAAATGCCTTGATGAAAAATTATCTGCTGAGAGTATAACAGTTGAGGCTTCATTGTATGTATTGTATTGCTTTTTTTGTTTGTTTGTTTGTTTCACAATCACTCCTTATGGCAAAAAAGCAAAGTTATTAAAAGTAAATTTGCCAAATTGCAAAATGTTCAATTTCCAGTAGTGTAGTGCACTGCAATGCACAGATCCTTTGAAGACTTGACTTGAATAGTTATTAGAATCTCTCATATAGCTAAGCATTTTCACTATTTTAATCAAAGAGAATTGAATCAAATGGCACAATGGTAGAATGGAATACAGATATATATATATATCTATATATATATATATATATGTCTCTGAGCTAGTAGAACTTAGAACTATTCGTCTATAGATTGACAGTGAAAGAGGCTGCTAATAGTCATAAATGAACAATGACAAAAGGAAAGAGGACAGTTTGCAGAAAAGAGGCCTAGAAAACAATTAATGTGAGAAATAATTCACCTTTCAATAAGCGAAACACAAGAATGAAATAGTATGAAGTGTATGTTGCTTCCACAGCATCAAAGTTGTCTTTACAGATTTTCTTATGGAAAACTGATGCTAAAAACACCTCCCCTCTGAAAGTTGTTATAACAGTAAAAAGAGATAGATATATTGTATAAAAGAGATTTGTGAATAGCGATGCATTTTGAAAATTTGAAGGATGTCTGTACACACACACACACACACACACACACACACACACCACAGTTAGGGGTAAAGGCACTACAGTAGATGTCTGCATGTCATGTCGATTCTTAGATGTCACCCAACATGTATATTTATACAGACTCTTTCTCTGGCCTAGAACTCATCAAGTATGCTAAGCTGATTGGTCAGTGAGTCTCAGAGATCTACTTGTCTCTGCCTCTGTAGTGTTGTGATTCAAAGTGTGCAGTGCCATTCCCTGGCCTTTTATTTACATGGGTGCTTGTGATCAAGCTCAGGTTCTCATGTTTGCTACAAAACATTTCCAGATTGAACTGTCTTCCCAATATTTGTTTTTTAACTTATAAAGTGAAATCAACTCTCACCAATTATATTATCATGATGGGAAAAGTTAACTACTATGATCACACTAGGAGCATATCCATTATTTGAACTGTGTACACTGATCCCCATCTCAAATCTTGCTTTCCCACTTTTGCTTTTATGACCAAGAGACAAGTTCTGAAGAATATGTTAGATATTAGTACTTACACAATATTTTTCTCTTGCTTCCTCCCACTTTTTTTTCCTTTGAAATATTTTTAGTAGTTGAATAGAATCCAAGGTGTTCTCTCAGTTCATTTGAGTCCATTGTAAGTGTCTCTAACAAATTCAGGGGTCTTTTAGATGGAATCTTCTCTACCTTTTGCTCTGAAAAACTAGAACAAGTTAACCTTTGGAATATGGTGGATATTTGCATAGTCTTATAAGTGTATAAAATATTTGACAAATCTGTTCCTTTCTCTAATATGGCAGCTTCCAATACAGTTCAAGGCACTCTCATTTCCCACCCAGAAAAGCTCTTCCATTACCAATCAGTCCTGCAGGGGTCAAGCAAATGGATTATACATATAGTTTTATAAAGATAGAATGTAAATGCTATACGTCATATACATTCAAAGTTGTACAAGTGGCTAATTTTTGAAACTTCTTAATATATTCATCTACAGGTAATATCTCCATTCAAGGCACCAAATTGATGCATATGAATTCATTCTTCTGTGCTTATTTGTACTTCTTCTCTCATGCTTATTTTTCTGTCAATTAGTTTGTCTTTCACCCCAAAATTTATAGCAAGTGGGATCGTAAAATATGTACTTTTTTTCTTATATCTTTAACTAAGCATGGTGTTTTGATATCTGTCAAATCTCTTATAAGGTTGACTACATAATTATTTCTTCTTTATTACTAAGTCATTTTCCATTGTGTTCTGTATCACTTTTATTCATCTACATACTGTACAGAAACATATATTCTTTCAGGATGGGGCTATTACTAGTAAATATGCTATAAACATTAATACAAATATGTCCCGCGCTACCGTCTTGCCAGCAAGAACGACATGGAACACTCAGGATCCTTCTGCAGTAAAGCTTTAATGCATCTTGAGAGGGAGAGCATAAGCTTACAGAACGGAGACCCCAAACATCCAAAACCCAACCCTTATATAGGTTTACAACCTTCGCCTTGGATGAGTCACCTCCTGATTGGCTGCAGCCCATCGGCCCATATGATGCCACTGGAGAGGCAGAGGCCAAGGGAGGGAAAATCACCCTGCACCTGCGCACTGACTTGTTTACTCTCAACGCCAGCTGGATGCAGGTGCCATCTTGTAATGGAGAATGCCGGGACGGCTCCCTACACAAATATCTTCATGTGGACATATGATTTAACTTGTCTTAAATAAAATGATACTCAGAAATTGATTGGGTGAGTCACAGGGCAGTTATACATTTACATTTGTAACAAAAGGCCAAGCTGTTTTGAAAGAGTTACACCAAATGGCATTTCAAAATTTCAAGAACACTTGATATAGCTAACATATAGTTAAAACTAACATTTTAGTCAGGTGGATGAGGGATTCTCACTGAATTTGCATTTATTCAATGAATAATTACGAATAGGTTTTATATTTACTTCTGCTTCATTTATTTTTGTTTTAATTAAAATGTAATTATATAATTTCTCTTCCTTCTTTCAAAGCCCCATTCTGCTTTTACTCACTTTCAAATACACTGCCTCATTTATTTATTTACTTATTTATTTATATTTTATTTTACATGTCGATCCCAGTTCCCTCTCCCTCTCTCCCTCCTTCTCACCCTCTCTATCCCCTCACATGGACCCTGACCACCGTCCCCTCCCATCCCCTCACCCTAATTCCACATGTAGAGCAATGCCATCCAGGTGGGGGTCAAGTAAATCTGTCAAGTCATTTGAAGTAGGGACTAGGATTTCTCTCCTTTCTCTAGGTTAAGGCACTATTCCTCCATGGAGGATGTGTCCACAAGGTCCTTTTGTGCACCAGGAATACATCCTGGTTCCACTGTCTGAGGGCCTTTAGACTGCTCAGGCCTTCTGGCTGAGAGCCATATTCAGGGAGGCCAGTCCCATGCTGAATTCCCAGCTATCAGTCTGGGGGCCCGTTTCTTCTCCTTGTTCATGTCAGCTGTCTCTATGTGTTTCTGCAACCTGGTCTTATTCTCTCCCTCTGCATCTGTATTCTAGTTTGACTCAGTGTTTAGTTATGGATGTTTGCTTCTGTTTCCAACAGGTACTAGATGAGGGATCCATGATGGTGGATAAGTTAGTTGTTGATCTCATTATCAGGGAAGGGCATTTATGGTAGCCTTTCCGTGGTTGCTCAAATTGTTATTTGGCAGCAGTCTTGTAGGTCCCTAGACCTTTCTTCAGGTTCAGTTTTCTCTCCAAACCAATAATGGC